CCCCAAAACCCCAAAACCCCAAAACCCCGTTGGTCTGAAAAACTATAAATCTGTCATAATGCTAAATATATTATATAAATCTCAAACATGAAAGTGTATGTTTATATTTTAAGCAAATAATTTCTATAGGAATACTAAGAAAATTATAACTAATCAAGAAGTTTATGAAATTATGAAATAACAGCACGTATCATCAGTATTAATTGATGCCAATCAAGATGGTGCTATTGAAAAGTCTCCAGAAGATGTAATCAATTATAGTTTATCAATAAATTATAGAAATTAATCGAATATCTTGAAGAAAATCACCTTGTATTGAAATCAAAACAGTCTTTGATAAAACTTTTGGACTAGCTTTCTCTAAAATATCCAAATTTAACCAAAGGTGATAAGCTCTAAATCGTTAATCTACTTCCTGAGACCATTGGCGAGATGTACTTGATATTAAAGTAGAATTAGTAGCTAGAAAGTACTGAGCAATTACTTAATGAGATGGTAGACTTAATTAAAATGTATAAAAAATAATGATTAAATTAACAATAATTATTATTTACCTTAAATGAAATTAAACAAAAATTTGATCTTTATCTCTAAGAGATTCTTCGCACCCCCAAAGCCTGCAGGTAAAGGTGGTCCAGCCTCTTCCCCTGCCTATGTTCCAGTGGTTATTTAAAAGACACCTTATCAAAGACTTATTGAAAGAGGAATCGAATTTCCTTTAGGTCCCCCAAAGAACCCTTAAATGGTCTAAGGTACTCACAGAGACAATATAGTTCCAAAGCTTGCTCCCAGAATTGAAGTCTTTGCTAAGAAATTAAGAGATTTCTACTTTAGAGAAGGAGTTTTACCTGAGGAGAAGACATTTATTGAAGCAGTAAGAGAAAGATAACCGGAAGATAAGATCGAAAATTTGCAAAAGGAAAAGTTAGTTGCAGGTAATCACTATTTTTCTCTATTATTTCAACTAAGTTTAAATATATAGCCGTGATTTAAGGAAGAGATGAGTTTCCAGATGTTGACTTAGTTTTACCTTGGAGTGCACCTCATTTAATTCTAAGATCGGATCATTACGAAGTCAAACCATTATACGTTAAAGTCGGTGGCGAAGAAATTAGAGTTACTACAATCGATATTGAAACTAATGCAAAAAGTCATCAGCCATACTTTGTTTCTTTGTAGAGATATATTGTAGGACGTCCTAATCTACTTAAAATGGCTATTTATCCAGTCTAAGAGGATAAATCGCTTCATTTCTAAGCTGGTGCTAATTTTAACTATTATGTCAAAGAACTTTACGTATGGTGTTACAATGATACTTATCCAGCAAGATTAGAAGTTAACTGCATGGATTTGACTCCTAGTTTCTCAATCAAGATAGGAGATGTAGAGAGAATGTTACCTCATGGAATGTATTTGCATAAGATGTACAATCATCAAAAAAATAGAGCTGTTGTTAACCTTACACAATCAAATCTTTATTCATAAAGAAAGAATGCCCTTAACGAATAGAACTATCAAATCTACGAATAAAAGTAAGCAATAAAGGCACAAATGTCGGTAGAAAAGAAGAAGGACTCTTCATCATTAAAAAAAGGACTAAAAGTAGTGCCAGTAGTCGTTCAATCAGCTAAATTTTTAATGGCAGAGAAGAAGGAGCAAGAAAAGGAGGCCAAAGCAGCAGAAAAGAAGAAGTGAAGGAAGGTATTACGAAACAATCAACTGGATAGATACTTTATTTAATTAACACTTATATGCACTCAAATTTAATAATTAATCTGCTCGCATTGTTAGCTATTAAGATAATTGTATATTTCCACTATCTAAATCATATTTGAATCTCCTACTGTGACTGTTACTAAGAAGGTAGGCCCTTGATTTCATATTGCTTATTTAGCCTAATACATCTGAGGCTCTTTTAGGGACATGATTCTACTGTGAAAACATCACCTATCCCAATATCATACTTAAAGTATCCATCTATCTATACGCTTCCATCAATTATTTCGCTTATCACTTTTATCATCGAGCAATATCCTTCAGCTCTCCAAGTGTAAGAGGAAGGATCTGAAACGTATCCTTCTCTTACAAGGTAATACAGTTTATCTGAGTCATAAGGAAATACATTGTTACTGCTTATCAGTCCAGATATATTTGAATTAACCTAAATGCAAGAAAGATATTAAAAGATCTTATTTAATCTTACGAGTTCACTATTATCATAAGTGCCTATAATGGATTATATTGTGCTGACTTCTTGATTTGTAACTTAACGAGCAGAATACAGCCATCCCGATGATCCTGTTCCAGTACCAATTAGAAGTCCACTACTTTTGAATTTTCCCATATCCCTACCGTCTACTTATACTCGATACATGCTTGTACATGAAACATCTTTTTCTGCAGCAAAAACCTCATTCAGGCATAACTTATTTGTTTGCATTCCAGTGACTGGATTTTCAATGGTAAACCATGCTCTATTTCGATAAAATGAAGAATATTCTCCGGCTAAAATCTACTCTATAATAACAGGGATTTGCTATTCTCTTTCTTAAAAAATTAGTGATTCATTGCATAGTGCCCCCGTTCTTCTGGTTGGATCACTGTTTATTCCGTAGATTGGCAACTCATTATTTAAAATGATTCCTGCTGCTTTAAGATATGTACTATCTCCTCCTACCAATAATTAATTATAAGGTATTCTAACCTATTGAAATGACTAAGTCAATATCGTTTATATCGTGCTGATCTAACTCATTCTCCTTTTTTATCTTCGCATTCATGCCCATTTTCAAAACCCACTTATGAAATGACTCGATTACTTAATGATGGATACTATTTGCTGTCTCCCTTTATACAAATGATCATGTAAAATTGTAAGATACCAATCTTTTTTGTAAAACTGCTCAATATATGGAGTAAAATGAATGCCTTGCTTAATAAGTCTTTCAAGTCTTGTTGTTTTGCTGACAATCAAAGCATTATTAAAAGCTTTCATTTTAGTTTTCTAATTCTCTTGATTTTGCATACTTTAATACTATGGGGTTTTGGGGTTTTGGGGTTTTGGGGTTTGCACAATATA